AACATCCCAAGTGTTTTGATCAGAGTATCAAACACAGAAAACTGTTTTTGATTTGTGTTATAAAATAAAAAACGCGCGAAAAGATCGCAAAAAAGCAAAGTCTAAGTAAATTCTCCCTACGTGCAGTCTTATTCAAACTGACCAATGAGCGCGCGCGATAGATTAAAAATGACGGTAGCGTGTTTTGATGCTCTCATCAAACATGGTTTTCGACCAATCGTAGCGCGCTAAGTATCCCAATTATTTTATAAATCATAATCATAATCATAATCATAAATCAATACAAATAAATCAATATATATATATTTCTACTTAAGGTTACGATAAATCAGTCACTGAAGCTGTAACTTTTGAATCTATTAATATTCTTGCAATTTTGTTCTAATTTGCGATATTTATTCCATATTATTTCTTCCTTCTACACTTTTATCTTCCAAATAAATAAATAAATAAATCGATTTATTGGAAGTTTATCTAGAAAATGAAAATTAAGATTTAATTAAGATTTTCAAAACAATTCATTATTTCTTTTGGCAGAAAGAATTACTTACTTATCTTTTTAAAAAAATCGCATACACAGTGTTACTTATTAATGAAAAGTTTTAAAATTACGAAATACAACGCGACTGGTTATTCTCTACTTTCACATCCCCATAATGCCTTGCGTTTTGGGGGGTAACCAATCAAAAAACTGTCTCAAATTGAAAGGTTTGTTAATTGAATTTATACTATACCTGCTTTTATCTGTACAATACTGATTATCAGTTTATTCCAAGCTATTTTTGCATGTACAGATCATCAAGAGTTTTGGTCTTACAGAAAATGTATTGACTTACGAAAAAATGTTTAAAATTAACCTTAAACGTTTTCAAGCTTTTATCTTTTTCTGTTTTTTTACTTCTTCATTTTATCTTTGGATACCAAACAAGGTATTTTCAACATTGTCTGATCAGCCTTCAGCAAAATAAGTGGGTTTTTACCCTCTGGTTACCCCCCAAAGACGCAAAGTATTATGGGGATGTGAAAGTAGGAAATTTGAAAATTGTATAAATGCATATATGATTGGCAAATACAATCGCAATCCTATTACTCTAAAAGTCTGGAAACGTGGTACCAAGATTTGATGACATCCAACCTCGTCAACCAAAAGAAAGATTGCAGAGGTTTAGTGTCATTCCTCGGATTTAAAATAAAACGGTTTACTACAGCTACAATGATGCAGTGCTGAATGGCATTTTCGACGCTATCAAATCGTTGTCAGTGGTAAGGCCTTTCATATTGTCTTGTTAGCAATCAGTTTCATACTATTAAGAAAGGTCGCCACTTGCTTTAACGACTACATCTCCCATGATGCCTTGCGAGCCATTTAGACTTTATATTTGGTCAGAGACGCAAAGTCACCATTTGCCTTTGTTTAAATTTCTTGCATACAGTTACATTTCTTATGACGCACTGCACATCATATTACCATATATGTTGGACTGGTCAATCGTGACGTAAGGAMTACAYCTCCCATAATGTTATGCGAACCAAAGGTCACTGACACATTTAGTTTGAGTTCCTTTACAAAGTTAGATTGGCAAGTTTAGGTCGGATACTTTCACGCCTTTCTCTTAGACTAGATCCCTTCAGCGACGACTTTCTAAAGCTTCTAAGCTCTATTTCRCGCAGCTTGGCCGCTTCACTTATCCCYTYCCGTCCRCATGTGATGATRTAGAGAAAAGCTCTTCGATAGTTACGTAACCGCCACGAATAGACAAAAGGATTCATGCACGAATTAGACAAAATCAACAGGAATTGAAGATTGCGTGACACCACGATGACAAGACAGCTACACACGTCACACAAGTTCAGCAAGTAGATGAATACGCATGCGCTCATGTAACACAACACAAATAGTGACAGCATTATGAGGAAGGTCTTGGTGATCTTTTGTTCCCAGCGAACTGCTTGTTTCTTGCGGCGATTCTCCTCCGTTCCAGCRTGCAGGTTCTCCCATGCTTTTACTTGAGCTCGAAAGATCTTATAAATCCGAATATACGCAAATAACAGCACTAGGAATGTCAGTAGTATCGCAGTATTAGCGAATAGGAATGCATATGGTATATATCCAATGTGGAAGTACAGGAATGGAAATGCTAAGGATACGATCCACACTCCGCCACACAAGATGGCCGCTCTTCCGGGATTCAGGAGGGTTTTGTACTTAAAGGGTGATGTAATAGCAACGTAACGATCTAAAGTCAACGTTAGTAGGCTAAGAATCGACGCCGTACAGGAGATAAAGAATGGCATGTGGATTTCTGGCGATCGCGCGTCTCTCAGCCCCATGCCTTCCTGAATGTGATAAATCACGGCCACCGGTTCCGTCACGATCCCAACTAGAAGGTCAGCCATAGCAAGGTTAGCTACAAAATAGTTGAACGGCGATCGGAGTTCTTTATTTGGATCTATAAAGACGGCAAGTACCACCAGAAGATTCCCTGGTACAGTGATAAGGCAAAGAAAAGTCGTCACGCCGGCGGTCGCGAATGAAAGAGTAGTTGGCACGGTGGAGTTTAAACAATGATCCTCCATGAAGAAGTACATATTGGAATTGTAGCACCCTTTTCCTCTGCTAATTTAATTTACAAAAAAGTCGCTACAATCAAACGCCCTCAGTCGTAGAGTTCAATAATCTGGGGAAAAAATCACATCTTGTTTAAATTTGCGTCTACGAAGTTCAGTACGCGGCTTGATTTTTCTCCGACAGCCTTTCACTTCTAAATCAAAAAAACAACAAAACTCGCGTGGTAAATCTTAGTCTATAGAGGTCCAAAGTCCGTTCCTGAGTTTCCAGGGGAATCTTAGGGGTCTTTTGAAGATAGATATCCTGAAGATAGATATTCTGAATATTTTCCATGGATGAAAAATTCATCGTAAGAACTATGCTGACATGTTGTGTTATATTCAGTCTATACTGAACATGTCCATCCAATTCAAAACAATTATAGTCAGAGTAAACTTACGGTATAGATCCTGGATTCTTGACCATTAATGAGTAGGGTTTCTTTGAATTTAGTTGCTTCTTGTTGCTGCATTCGATGCAAACGCTTTCCAAGTTCAGAACCAGAATAACTGTGACTCATGCAAGACTACCGCTATATCTAAAAGTGCAGGGGAAACTTTCTCCTATAGTATCCTGCCAGGGCTTAAGCGATTCCGACCGGCTGTCATTGAAGGCAGATTATAATTGTCACGACTTTTATAACCAGTGATTCGTCTATGACCTACAGACGATTTTTCCCTTTCTAACTTATTACGCAAGCAGATAATTGAATCAGTACTTCTATTTTTGAGTAAGGATTTGTATGTCCGAGCTTAACTAGTTAGCTAGTTAGGAAACCTAGTGAAAACGCGGCCTTAGTCTGTTTACTTAACTCTGTCATGTATTAACTATTTTTAATGCCCTTGTTTGTCATACATGTGTACTTGGCACATCCCATCAATCAGGACCTTTTGTTGATTAATTAAATATCATATTTCCTTGACTAGAGAACAATACGTCGAGTTGACCTAGTCGTAAAACTGATTAGTGATATCTATGAAAGCATTGGTAAGTTTTTAATTAGGATTTTATTTCAAGGTTTGGTATAGACGTAGGTCTTCATTTTACTCGTCAAAAGTGTAAAAAGATGGCTCCACTTAACCAGGTCAGATTTGACAATCCATTTCCGATTTGCATCGGGGTTCCACTCTCATTCCAAAAGCATCAAATCATATCCTCATCCCCTCCTCATCCTTCAAACCCATGACTTTTTTTAAACTCATGCAACGGGGCACGAGAACTGGGGCACGATTTCAGTAGTTTTCTAGAATTATCGAGGGAATCTGACTAAGTCGAACATCCAGTAGCACTAAACTTTTTTTCAACGATGTAATTTCATGACCTTGTCTTAACTGACAAGTTATCTAGGGATTCTATTGTGAAGTGTTTTGTTAAACTTGACCCATGAGTTGGCGTGTTTCCATCATTGTTCTGGAAGGTCTTCTAAATTTCGTTAAAATCCAGCTTGGAATGGAAATGCTGGATGGCAGTCAGTGGAATTTTGTACTTACGATTGTAGGTTGAAGGAAACTAGATATTTCCTTYTGCGAAAACATCCAAATATTAGGTCTCCTTCAGGTTCAGAGGTACGAAGATCTGGAACAGCCTTCCGCTGGACCTGAGGAGGGTACACGACTTAACAAGATTCAAGTCTGGCATTAAAAAGCATTTTAGACTTCGCTAAAATTAACCCTGTGCGCCATCCAATACTTCGTGTTTTAATTAAAAGTGTTTTAATTTTAGTACTTCCTAACTTTAGTTTTGTATTCTGTACTAATATACTTTCTGTCTGTAACATCAATTTAAACAGAGCCCCATTCAAACCAGTTTTGCTGAACTGGGCACGTCTGTATAAATATTGTTGATGAATGAACAAATAAATTACAATTGCGAACGGAGAAGCTTCTAGTGAGTGTAGAGGGACTTATAAATGTTCAATGTGCGCATCTCGATAGTTAGAGGGAAGGGTTTCGTATTTCACTTCTGACACCATGTAGCACGTTTATGAAGAAAACTGATCCAGGTATGGGTATTAAAACACGTTATATGTCATACATTATTAAATTGTAACGCAATAACATCAGAACATTATTACATGAAGTTTTTACATCAATTTAATGTCACGATTTTTGCGATTGTTTCTTTGATGTCACAAATTAAATGTTTTGCAAAAAATAAGTGCTAGAAAAATATAATGAAGACGATGTGACGTCATCGTGACAGTTATACAACCTACCCATCGCTGTCGCGTACTCATCAAACAGACAATATGTTTTCCTAAGAACCTTGACATAGTTCT